CGGTAGTTATTGCACTGAAAAGAATTGGTGTGCCCATAAAATTAGACTGCCTTTAGTGCTTTTTATATCAACGCACCAGAACACTCTTACACCGACAGATGAGAACAACTTCGAAGCAGTTGAGTGTTGGCCTTTTAAGTCGTGACCTTACTTGGTTACCCGCTTACACCAACAGATGAGAACAACTTCGAAGCAGTTGGGTGTTGGCCTTTTAAGTCGTGACCTTACTTGGTTACCCGCTTACACCACAGAAGCCGCTACTGCTCAAACTTTCTAGACTTCCTTTTTGGCAAATGCCTTTAGAACCGGTTTTGAGACACATAAGAAACTAGTTGTTTTTTGGGTTTTTTTTAATCTTTCAGTTGTAGTCACACAGCCCGCGCCATGAACATATACCCTGCCATCTGACTACGGACATCAGCACTGGCCTTTGACCTGGATTCCACAACATAGTTTCCCAAGAGCCCAGCTTCCACTGTGACAGACTTTCTAATCAGTGGGGAGAAAGGATTCTTTCTCTTGGATTTGCACAGAATGGTTCTAAGAGTGGGAAAGTGCCATCTGTTGTTTCCTAATAGACCTTGGGGTATTAAATGTGGAACATGCCTTTAAGTATTTTTACTTCAATTTCTGCTAACCAAAAAAAGGTGATATTTCCTCCATATTAAATAAAAACACTGATATTTTTTACTTCAAAAACATAATAGGTTCCATGGTAACAAAAAGGAAAGCGGTGTATGAAGGGAAAAAGAGAGTTGTTTCCCATCTTCCTCTTCCTCCAACTTTATCCTCCTAATGTGGTCAGTATTATTAGCTTGATGTGCATATTTCCATACAGTTCTATATGCACATACACACATAAACACACAGGCTTCCCCCCTTTTGTGACCACACTATATACATTATTCTACAATCAATTTCTACTTGCCAATACCTTATGGACGTTTCTCCTCTGGGTCAGTACTGTAGATCTAATACATTCAAAAAATATCTGCAGAGTATTCTGTTAAAGAGGTGTACTTGACTTTATTCTATCGTCCCCTTATTGATGGATATTATATTGTTTCCATCTTTTATGCCATTATACATAATGCTGCTTTAAATTCCATATAAGCTTGTACTTTCAGTTCTATAGAGGACATTGCCCACAGTGAGAATACTGAGTCGAAGGGCATGTGTATTTAAGATTTTTAGAACCACTGCCAGAATACAAAAAGTTCCAACAATTCCCACTCCCACTGGCAGTGTATGAGGGTACTCACCAGTATTGAATACTATCAATTGCTTAAGTTTTTCTTTTTATACTCTGAAAGGTAAAAAGTATTTTCTTGTGATATTAAGTGAGGGTACTTTGCCTTGTCACATACAGCTTTGCCATTTGCATTCTGAGACACTTTCTGTTGGGAATCTGAGTGAGCAAGTCGAGATTTTCTGCTATGATTCACCTGTTCATAACCTTTGCTGTTTTTCTTTTCTTTTTTTTTTTTTTTTAAGATTTTATTTATTTATTTATTTGACAAAGAGACAGCGAGAGAGAGAGAGAACACAAGCAAGGGGAGTGGGAGAGGGAGAAGCAGGCTTCCCACTGAGCAGGGAGCCCGACACAGGTCTCAATCCCAGGACCCTGGGATCATGACCTGAGCTGAAGGCAGATGCTTAATGCCTGAGCCACCCAGGCGCCCCTCTGCTGTTTTTCTGTTGCATGTGTTGTCTTTTTCATGTCAAATTGTAAAAGCCTTTAAAAATAGGGGTATCAACTCTTAGCCTGTTGCGTGCATTGCAAATATTTTTCTCCCAGTTTGTTTCTCTACTGAAAAATTTCCATTGTCTTCTGCTTGTGAAATTCCTTTCAAGGAGCCATTTGGACATCTCTTTGTTGTCAAAAACTTTCCCTTACATTTAACCTAATTCTTTGTGTTGCAATTCACCTCTCTTTCCTTGGGTTCTGTGCCTCATTATTGCTCTCCATCTCCCCAAAGACAACTGAGCTGTGTCTATTGGAGCTTTTCTCCTGACTGAATGGAGTGAATTGACTGACCAATTTAGTCAAGTATGTCCTTTGACTTAGATTTTTCCTCTCCATTAAATTGACTGGTTGTTGACTGAACTGACCTTGTTAGCCAGTCTTTTTGGCACTGTGAATCTGTGTGTGTGCACCTGTGTGTGCGTGGGTATGTGTGTGTGCACGCCCAGTAGCAGAACCACGACTAGGTGGTTTCAGTTGTTGCCTTCCATTGAACTGGCCTTCCTTGGTCCATTTCCCTGCCATTGCAATTAGCAGCCTCATGGTGGATATATACCACTGCTTATAGGAATTTATAAAGAACACCAGATGTAGAAGCTTGGGCCCAGGCTGCTGAATGAAGAGGTATATGGAGGTCCAGTACACCCACCCCTTTGCCCCAGTCATTAGCCTACAAAATGTCAGACACGTGAGTGAGGCTCTCCTAGATCATCAAGCTGTAAGTTGACTCATGACCTGACCACCGTAGCATAGCATAAAAAAACACAGCAGAGATCACCCCAACAGGCTTAGTTCAGAAGAATCATCACAACTGGCACTGAGGTGAGGCAAATGAAGTGCTTAGGACATAAAATTTAAGGAGGCACTCGCGTGCAGAATCATACAAGTACACGGTTGACAATTGCATGACCCTAAGAGTGAGTGCCTCCTTAAATTTTGTGCCCTAGGCACCTCACTTGCCTTACTCTAATCCCAGTCCAGCGAACCACCAGGTGACCCACAGAATTATGAGCCAAATAAATGGTGGTTGTTTTAAATCACTAAGTTTTGCATAGAGAGATGAGTTTGATCGATTCAACTGAGAATTCTGTTATGATTCTTCCTCTGAGCTTATAGAGCAAAACTGTGAAAAAAGTCTATTTGGTTGTTTATGTCCCCCTGTCTCATCTCTCAGGGCCCTGTCTCTGGTTACTTTCCTGGCACCGTGTTCATGCTCCCTACACCTTTCTTTCTCCCCTTGTAGCCAAATATCTGTCTTATTTTCCAGCAAGTAAGTTTCTTTACACAGTGGTTGAAAGTAACACCTTTTTCTGGGTGTTGAGAGCTGAGGTAGTAAGAAAAAGGCAAGGTTATGGTTAAGAGATGGGTGAATGGGGGAACTACATTCCCCAAATGGATTCTTCAAGAGGCTAGTTCTGTGGGGGTGGGGGGGTAAAGAGGGCTTGTAGGGAGAACATTTCGGTGGCTAAATATTGCATACAGTCAGACGGCTGGGTTTAAAATTTCTTGGTCGTGTGTTTACTGTGTAAACTTGGGAAAGTCATTTTATCTCTCTGGGCCTTGGTTTCATCATTGGTGAAATGTGGATAAGCACAATACAAAGATCATAAGAATGGTTGGTGGATAGAATAAGCTACTGCTTGTAAAATACTGAGCATGAGGCCTGGCACTGTAAGTACTCAGTTAATGTGAACTCTTCTTATTCATAAATACCTTTTGGAAACCCTGGATTATACAGATCACATCTCAGAGTCTCTAATCGGCTGATGTTCCTAGCGTATCACCGTAAGAGAAGTAGAAAAAGAAGTAAATGCTTTATTAGATCATGGAACTCCTCTTTCCATTCACATAATTCTCAATGAACTTGTGCTCTGTGGAGAACACTTTGGGAAATACCAATGTAGAGAAAGAAGGCATGATTTTGAGAAAAAGCACTTGCATTCCAGACAACTCTCTTGTTCATGTGATTTCAAGCGAGTCATTTAATCTCTCTGGGCCACAGGTTGCCCACTTGTAAAATGAGGAGCATGAGACTGTTTTTACCTGCCTTACAAGTTACAGGGAGAGAGCTTTATAAGCTGCCACCAACTATACCAACCTCAGGCACCAGGAGCAGGAGTGATTGTCGTGAATCCAGGTGTGGAAAGAGGTAAAGGGAGGACTCCTTGTGTGTCGAGTTCAAGGGCATGATTAGTGAGACCTTTCGATGGCAGTAATTAGGAGTGAAGTGTGCATACAACATAGCTCCCTGGAGCTTGCAGTATGAAGAAACCTGGATTTCTAGGCCCCATCCAGGTTTCTGGGCCTTTTTCTTACTGCAATTAATTTCCAAAGCAGAAATGCTTAAAAAAAAAAAAAAAAAAAAAAAAGAGACAGGAGAGTTCTAAAGAAATCCAAGCACTCTGTGATCTATTGGTCAAGGCCCTGGCTTACATACTTTGTTGCTTTCTTCAATACGAATGGATAGACACTGTGGAAATCAAATATATTCTTAATACATACTAAGATTTTAGTGGCTGGAAATATTCTCCAGTATTTTCTCTTCAGGGCTTGTTAAAAGGCAACCTACAGAAAAGGCAATACTTAGCTGAAATAGCAGCCTGATGGGGGAAGATCACCTGGGACAGGAGAGCCTCCTCAGCACTCCCTCAAATCAGATTGCAGGGACAACTGTCTCTTTCCACTACAGAGTGGACCAGGCACAGGTTCAAATTACTTTTTCCTTGGCCTGTTATTCCCAGACTCATGCAACCCAGTGGAAAGACTATACAAGAAAAGCATGTGACTGACCCTTGTCTGTAACATTTTGGCCGGATGTTAAGCTTCCTTGCCTTGGATCCACCCACTATTTCCTTAAACAGTAACTTTCAGCATTTCTTCCAACTGGTCTAAATGCTCGATGAGTATGCTGGAACGAGCACTGGGCTGGGAGTTGAGACCTAGAGGTCCAGTCTGTGCTACTGACTCACTCTGTGACGTAAGGCAGGCCATGACCCCTCCTTGAACCTCAGTTTTCTCATCTGTTACACAAGGCATTTGAACCGGGGTGATCTTAAAAGTCCCTTCCCGTTCAGTCTATAGTTTCACTTGTTTGTCTACACCCTCAGATCAGAGTCACTCTCATTTCATCTTCCTGTGTGGAGCATATCCATTTAAGGCTAATTGCAGAATGTTGGAGAGCTATCCAGGAACATTTGAAGCATTGGAATATTCGTTTGAAATTAATCAGACACAACCAAACATGCAGGTGGTTGCTCTTTCCCTTCGACTCCTGGCTCTTGGGATCTCGCCTCCTGGAAGGTGTTCATGGGTTGCAGCTGCAGAGGACAGCCTATGGATTATTGCCCAGAAGAGCAACTTTTGTGAATGGGAGGGGTGAAGGCAAGACCACTCACTGGGCTCCTTCTCCAGTGGATAGGGGTAAGAATGTTGAAGGATGGGGTACAGAATAGGAGTCAAGAAATCCAGACCTACCAATAATAAGAACTGAGGTTGCAGCCTTCATTTCTTGGCCCTTTGTCTTCTTGTCTGGGAATTGCCTGGGACTGATATTATGAAGGAGACTGTCTCACGCTAGCCCACTCTAAACGTCTGTATGTTTCCAAATATATTGATGCCAGGTATCGCATAGACCACATAGTGGCCTGGCATTTTTTCATTTCTCACCAGTGTTTGAACCCCCATGGACCTCCCCTAACCCTCTTGCCTTCTACTCTTCAGCCATATTCAACTTAAGTTCTCTCATTTGGGGGGCCTTTGCATATGCTGCCCTCAACCTGACTCACTGTCTCTTGTGGGGAATCTTTTTCCCCTTCAGCACTCATCTCAAATGTTACAGTCTATGTGATGTCTTCTGCTATTACTCTTGACCAAGTTGATCATTCCCTCCTCTGTTTCCATAGAACTCTGGACATTCCTCCACTTTATACCCACTAGGGTGCAAGCTCCATAGAGGCAAGGACCACTGATTAGGGAATTGATATAATGCTAACTTCAGTAAGAGACAAGTCCCCAAATCTCAGTCTCAATCATTTAACAAAGTAGTTTATTTCTCACTCATATAAAGTCCAGTGGATGCTGGGAGGGTGGGGATCAGTGTTATGTATTCTGTTTCATGAAGTCATTCAGGACCAGGCTGATGGAGGCACTAGCATCTTTAACATGTGGCTTCCAATGTCCTCTTGAGAGTCCATATCCAGCCCATTAATGGGGGAGGAGAAAGAAGATCATATACCTTAGGTGCTTTCTAGGAGCTAGGTTTGTTAAGGGGCACATATCACTTCTGTTCACTTTCTGTTTGCTGGAACTCAATCACATCACCACCTCTAACTATAAAGAAGGGAAGTGTAGGCTAGTTATGTGCATGAGAAAAAGAAGGAAAGGCGTTTGGTAAACACATAGCTGTCTTTAGAGGCCATAATGCTTTATTCACTGCTAAATCCCTAGGACTGAGCACAGTGACTGGGAGGTGGTGACTACCCTGGACTGTGATCGAAATTCCACCACTGGATCATGATTTCATGGTCTAGTATCTTATTACCTCAATCAAGCATTGGCACATAGTAGGCGCTCAATAAATGTTGGCTGGTCATTATTGAAATTGCAGGGGCGCCTGGGTGGCTCAGATGGTTACGCATCTGCCTTCGGCTCAGGTCATGATCTCCAGGTCCTGGGATCGAGCCCCGCATTGGGCTCCCAGCTTAGCGGGGAGTCTGCTTCTCCCTCCCCCTCTGCCTCTCCCCCTGCTTGTGCTCTCTGTCTCTCTCTTTTAAATGAATAAATAAAATGTTAAAAAAAAAAAAAAAAGAAATTGCAGTATCCCAGGGGTATTTCTGCTCTGGGAGAACCTTTGGTATAATTCACCTCCTGAGGACAACTCATGCTCCTGATCAGGTTGGCCCTTTTGCTCTTGGTCTTTGAGCCAACATTCTCCAATCACCAGATTTATCTGTTACTCAGGCTTCTTGGAACCTAGGTGCCAATTCCTGTCTAGCCAAGGACAATTAATTTCTTAAGTCCTGAGGCTCTTCCTATGTGATGGCCTGTCATTCTCTCTATTTTTTCTTCCCCTTTCTAGAAACACTCCATTTTTGCATCTTAGCTTTTTCTTTGCCAGCTTCAAGTGTATTTAGTTACCTTCTGCCCCATTATTTTTATATTTGGAGGGATAGAGGTGAATGGAATGGAGGAGATGATGATATCCTAGCCAACATTAGTGTTATGAATACCTTATAGTGCTTATCTCTGCTCTAGCTTAATCTAATCCATCCCAGTTCAGCCCAGTTCAGACTAGCCATTGTGCTTTAGCCATCAGCACTTGGAGACACACAACAATAAATCTCTGTGTCTTCCAGCAATAAAGAGGATACTGACTAATGGTGACTGGGAAATGTGTTCTTGTCTTTCAGAATGTCCCAGCAGCTAAAGGTCCACTCAATCACATATTGCTGTTCCATAGAGACCTCTTCTCTGTGATAAAAATAGAATCTGTAGTAGGTATGTAGGCCAGGATATACCAATACTTCTAAAAAGGTCCGGAGAATCGCCTGTATATGGCAGGCAGTAGCATTTGGCCAAGGAAGACACAATATTTAGGATTAGAGACTGCCTAAGGTGAATCTGAATCAATTTTGTAATATGGCCACATTAGACTCTGAGAAGCCTCAGTCTCCCTTCCCTGAGGTCTTCCTCTTGCTACAAGGTGATTTTTCACCCATCCCTTGCAAGGGCCCAAAGACCTGTGCCCCTAAGATCTCTCCCCTACTTCCCTTGGCCACACCTGCTCAGGTTGTTTCCACTCCTAGGAAAATGACAGTCGATGTGCTTTCCTATTCCTCCCAAATTTCCCCGTCAGGCCTTTGTGATTGGGAGAAAAAGGGATCTAAAGGTCTGACTCAATGAGTAAGTAGGGGAGGTGGCTATTAGTCTCTGAAAGGCAGCTGGGTTTGCTTTGCCAATGCTTGATGGTAGCTCTGGCCTGACCCAATTATTTTTCCAGAAAAGGGTCCTTTTACTTCCACAGAATTTGGATCACAGGCAACTGGATACTGGAGCCTGATTTATTTATTTTTCTTACTTCTGCTTTAGGTAAACATATGGAAGCTTGTTCAACTGACTGAGGCCCTCAGATGCAGATTTTGCTCGGCTCTCAGATAATTCAAGGAAAATCTCTCAGGCTTTGGACTCACTGAAGGGAAAAACCAAGAAATGACCCCTTTCTCTGACCCTTGCGGGTGAAATGACCACTTACCGCTATTGAATTGGTGGAGGTCATAGGTTTTCTGGAGAAGGAAGGTAAGTACAAAACTTGAATCTACTGAGCAATACAGCACAAATCATAGTCATTAGAGGAATTTTGGGGGAAAAAAGAACTGAAGAAGCTGAAATGTGGTTTTCTCTGAAATTTCTATCTGAAAGTTAAAAAGAAAAAAAAACCCCACTGAGTTAGGGGAGCAGAACTTGTGAGGTGCTGGAGGTAGGGGTCAGATGTTGGGAAGAGAGAGAAAAAAAGAGAGAGGGAGTAGGAAGGAGGGAGAGAGAATGAGATTGAAAGAGAGAGAGAGACAGAGAGAGAATCTAAAAAAGTTGGCCCCAGACACTTTTTTCCTTTAAAAGAGGAGAGAAATGTTTATTTGGATTAACCAAGAAAACAAAAGGAAATCTAATAAACACTGTAAATTCTGTTCCCAAAGCGTTTGTGTCAAATGCCTTTCTTGTCTGTGGTATAGTAATAACGAGATTAGAGAAAAAAAAAATCCTGGGGTTGTTTACTTGAAAAAAATGAAAAAAACCCAACAACAGGGAAAGATGTTTAATTTAACCATTTGGGGAAAACAATTGCATGAAGTAGCTTTTCTTACTCTGCTGTGAAAGTCCCGTCTGAGTCACCAGAGAGTCCATGATTCCAGTGTGTCACTAAAGGAGAATGTCAGATGGATTTTGCATACACATTAATACTTTTAAGAGCAGCTTGATAGGCAGTATCATTTCTGGGGTGGGAGGCTCTGACAGCTGCCCTTACAATGCTGATTTTGGAACTTAGAACAATTGAGCTTGATCTTTACACCTTCTGCTACCCCCACCCACCCCATGGTTCCCAAGAAGGCATTTCCAAGAGCTTTGGCCCGATTCAACACGAGTTTTGATGACTTGCAAGAAGAAGACTATTGTTCAAGTTTAAGAACAGGAAAGGAGAGAGAGGATCTTTATCTTTTTTAAAAGCCCACTTAGTATAGTCAAGTTCCCCTGTTTATTTACACAATGATAGAAGCTCATATGCTAAGGGATTTCTGATCAGCACCTATAGGGAGGCTAGCCGACTGAGAAGACCGGAGAAACGGTATGAAACAGTCCTGGGTTCAATTCCCCAATTTGCCCCAAGTCACTTAACCCCTCCGAGCTTATTTTTCCATGTGTACAATCAGGCTGATAATAATAGTATCTGTTCCACGTGACTGTTGCAAGGTTCAAATGAGATAGGAATGTAAGTGTTCAATAGCTATTAGGCATAATAATCATAAAATAACTATATTCAAAATCGATCTATACAATCCACCAGGTCAACAAGCTAAAGAAGAAAAATCATATGATCATACCAATTGATGCAGAAAAAACATTTGGCAAAATCCAACACATTTCATGGTAAAAACTCTCAGCAAGTTAAGAATAAAGGAGAATTACTTCAACCTGATAAGGAGCATCTACGAAACAAAGCAAAACAAATAAAGAAAGCTACACATCTACACACAAAATCTACAACTAACATCATACTTAATGATGAAAGATTGAATGCTTTCCCTCTAGGATTGGAAACAAAGCAAGGATTTCTAGTCTCAGCATGAAACTGCTATAGAAATGTAAACACGGATGGAAATTAAGATGAACACACTAATGCTTTAGCAAGGCTTGACTTTAAACAACAAATTTTTCTCTTCCTCATTCTCAAAGCCTCCCCTTCCCTTCATTTGTTCTTCTGCAGAATCCTTTGTTCCAGGAACTCAGTACCAATGTCAATATCCTGCTGACCTAATGTATACTTAGTAACAAGACTCAGATGGCTGGTGCCCGTGCTAGTCATGAGACCACTTTGAAGACATGACATACTGAGCTGGCAACACATACCAGATTCCTACTGAAACTGCCCAGATCCTATATTTTCCTGTAAAAGCCCTTAGCCTTTTACCCCAGACCAGCTTGCAGTCTTGGAGACATTAGCCTGCTGTAGCCTCCTTTGCCTGGCAAAGTAATAAACTATCTGCCTTCCTTATACCCAAACTCTGTCTTGGCATTACATATTTTGGCTCTGGAGCACAGAGGTCAGTTTTCCACAATAAGCACTCTTGTTCACCATCATACTGGAAGTTCTAGCCACTGCAATAAAACAAGAAAAAATAAATAAAAAGCATACATATTGGGAAGGAAAAAATACAATTGCCCTTATTTACAGGTGACAGAATTGTCTTTGCAGAAAATCCCAAGTGGTCTACAAAAAAACTCCATAGAACTAATAAGTGAATTTGGCAAGGTTGCAGGATAAAAATCAACATCCATAAATCAATTGCATTTCTACATACTAACAAATGAACGTGCAGAAAATTAAATTAAAAACATAAACTATGTAGAGTCACTCCAAAGAAAATTAAATACTTAGCATAAATTAACAAAACATGTAGAATACTCATATGCTAAAATTACAAAACACAAATGAAAGAAATAAAGAAGACCTACATAAATAGAAATACATGCTTTATTCGGGGATTGGAAGACTCAATAGAGTAAAAATGTCAATTCCCTTCAAATTTACCTATATGTTTTATGCAAATCTTATCAAAATCCCAACAAGATTTTTTGTAGACATAAAAAAGCTCATTCTAAAATTTATATAGAAAGATAGAGGCCCTAGAGTGGTTAAAACAATTTTTTTAAAGGTTTTATTTATTTATTCATGAGAGAGAGAGAGAGGCAGAGGCAGAGGGAGAAGGAGGCTCCCCGCAGAGCAGGGAGCCCGATGCGGGACTCGATCCCAGGACCCTGGGATCATGACCTGAGCCAAAAGCAGACGCTTAACTGACTGAGCCACCCAGGCGTCCCATGGTTAAAACAATTTTAAAAAGTAGAATAAAGTGGGAAGAATTATTCTCTCCAATATTAAGATTTTCTATATGGTCATAGTAATCAAGATAGTGTGGTGCTGATGCATGGATAGGTGGAATATAGACCAATGCAACAGAATAAGCAACCCACCCAATTAAGCTCAATATATTGTTAACAAAGGTACCAAAGCAGTTTAATTGAAGAAGAATAGTCTTTTCAGCAAATGGTGCCAGAGCCACTGGACATCTATAGGCAAAAAAAATGAACCTTGACCTAAAACTTATTCCTTATAAAAAATTAACTCAAAATGGATCATAGTCTTAAAACTAAAATATAAAACTTTTAGGGAAAAAATGGGAAAAGATCTTTAGGATCTAGGCCTAGGCAAAGAGTTCTCAGACTTGACACCAAAACATGATCCACAAAAGGGAAAATTGATGAATTGGACCTCATCAAAATTAAAAGCTTTTGTTCTGTGAAAGTACACATGACAAGAATGGAAAGACAAGCAACAGACTGGAAGAAAATAATTGCAAACCACACTTGCCACAAAGGACATGTGTCTAGAATATATAAAGAACTCTTAAAAGCTCAACATTAAAAAGCAGACAATCCAATTGGAAAATGGGCAAAGGACATGAAGAAACATTTCACCAAAGAAGAAATACAGATGTCAACTAAGTACATTAAAAGATGTTCAATATCATTAGCCATCAGGGAAATGCCAGTAAGACCACAATGAGGTGCCACTACAAAAACCTATGAGAATACAAAAAAAAAAAAACAAAAAAAACACCAGTGAAAAAAAATAGGGGGGAGGATGTGGAGAGACTGGAGCATCCATACATTGCTGGTGAAAATGTAAAATGATACAGCCACTCTTGAAAACAGTTGGACAGTTTCTTAAAAAACCAAACATACCAATGACCTAGCAATTGCACTATTAGGCATTTATTCCAGAGAAATAAAAAATTGCATGACTATAAAAACCTGTACATGAATCTTTATAGCAACCTTGTTTTTAGTCACCACAAACTGAAATAATCTCAGAGGTCTTTAATTAGGTGAATGATTAAGCAAACTGTGGTGTATCCATACCATGGAATACTACTCAGCGATATAAAGGAATGAACTACGTGCAACAACTTGGATGAATCTCCAGGGAATTGTGCTGAATGAATAAAGCCAATCCCCCAAAGTTACATAGTATGTGATTCCATTTATATAATATTTTTGATGTGACAAATTTTAAAACTGGAGGAGAAATAGGAGGTTTCTGGGGGTTAAGGATATAGGGAGTGGTGAGGACGGGTATTGGGCATGGTTGTAAATAGGTACCAGAAGGGAACCTTGACGTGGTAAAACTTGCAGTATCTTGACTGTGGTGATGGATACACAAACCCCCATACATATGCTAAAATTGTATAGAACTTAATGCACATGCATACACACATATACACATATGAATGAGGGGAAATATGAATAATATTGGCTGATTGTATCAATGTCAGTATCCTGGTTTTGATTTTATACTATAGGTTTTCAAGATGTTAACACTCAGGAAAACTGGGTAAAATGTACATGGGATCTCTCCGCATTATTACTTATAACTGCCTGTAAATCTACGATTATCTCAAAAATTTCAATTAAAAAGCTAACATTTATGAATCTTAACATTATTATTTATTCTCTAGGGAGTAGTGTCACCCAAAACCACATTACTCATTTGCTGCAGTGCTGAGAGTTGAGAGCTGATTTAAATTGGAAATATAAGTATAAAACTTAACCGTTTTATGGTTGCCCATTGGGGAACTCCATAATGAAACTGGAGTCAAAACACTGGGTCTCAGCTTTGCCACTTATTAACTGGTGTGACGTCTAGCCAATCTGTCTCTTTCCTCATCATTAAAATGGAAGTTACAATTTTTTCCTTCCCAAAGAAAGAACAAGTAGGCCAAGTGTAAACAGAGAAGGATTGGCTGCCCTCTGGCACCAATTAGCTCTTGAGAGCAAGAATGGAATATTCACATCAGAATACTCCCTATGCCCCAGCCTGGCACAGTGTTTCTCCCTGGGAGCACTATGGACATTTTATGTAGGATAGTTCCATTGTGTGGGATCAGCTCACACATTGCAGAATATTTAGCATTCCTGGTTCCCACCCACTAAATTCCAGTAGTGTCATTAACATCCCCCTTCTTTGCACCAAAAAAAGTTTCTATACATTTCTACCTGCCCTTTGGGAGACATGCTCGCTCCCTAGTTGAGAACCACAAGCAGGTTATCTCACTAGTATGCAGTAGGTGCCCAATAAATATTTGACTAACTGCTTGATCGATGGATTTTTCTCCCTTGGCTACAACCTGGGCTCATCTCATCGTTGGTCTCTAGAGCTAGTATAGGTTTGTTTGCTGTGCTCTGCCCAGGACCCAGACAACCATTTGCATGGTCACAATTTCACTAGGATCTTGACTGTGGAAATGAGTGGGTCATCCCCAAGTCTGGACACCCTGGGAGATATAAGTGGAAGGCAAAGGTGCGGCATTCTCCCTTGTGCATTTTAGAGACTACATGGGTAAGTCTTGCAGGCCTATAAGCCCTTCACCACATTATTGAGCTAATGTATTCATTGCAGGTATAGTCAACTCTCAGTTATCTTCAGATGGAATATCCAAATTACAGTGAAATATTTAAGTACAGTTAGTAGATAATGAAGCACCTCACGTGCACTGTTTACTAGTTTTTGTTTCTCTTTAGTCTCTCATGAGGCTTGCCCTGCAATCCAGCCAAAATGCTTATTTCCTCTTTCAACCCCACGAAGATATAAACTAGAAATTCAATAGGTTGAGAGAAAGAAGGAGGGTTTTTTAAGAGGTTCCTACCACAGCCAATCCAACCTCTCCCTGTAGCCCCAAATGCTAACAAACTTCCTTAGCTGCCCTGCCGGAAAGGGAGCAAATCAAGGTGTACAACAAATATACCTCCAAAATCACTCTCAAATCCCTCTCCTTCCTACTCCCACCCCATTTCTGTTGTCTCCACCCTAACCCAAGCCACAATCTCTCTTGCCTGGACTGTTGCAGTAGCCTCTGGACCAGGTAAATAAGTACTTTGCTCAGTGCCTTTTGTTGTTTGGCATTCTGATTGCAACTTTATTATTATTGTCTAATATTTGCAGTTTTTCAAATTAAAAATTCCAATGTAATATGGGTAAGGAGTGGTTAAGATTGGGAAAACTTTAGGGAATATTCTGGACAGTTGAGATGCATTAGTTATTCACAAAAAAAATTGTTGCCATTAAAATGTGTTGTTTTCCTAATAGCTGTAACTCCTCTTATATTTTCCATATACTACTCATTGGCTTAGAAAAATCTGCGATTTTTAGATGAGGGAAAGAGTAATTTCTTCAAAAAGCTAGTGTTTCTTATCTCTTTCTTTTTGTGATAGAGCATCCTTTCAGAATGTAAATGCACACCACACTGCTCCCATCCTACCTGCCTTCAGGACCATCACACCTGCTGTGTTCTTTGCCTGTGCAACAGACTGAATGTTTGTGCCTCCCCCCTTCCAATTCATATGTTGAAATCTAATGTCCAAGGTGGTGTATTAGGAGGTGGAGCTTTTGGGAGGTGCTTAGGTCATAAGGGTGGAGCCCCTATGAACGGGATTAGTGCTCTTATAAAAGAGACCCCACAGAGCTCCCTTGCCCCTTCCACCACGGAAGGGCATGGCAAAAAGAAGGTGTTCAGGGGCGCCTGGGTGGCTCAGTTGGTTAGGCGACTGCCTTCGGCTCAGGTCATGATCCTGGCGTCCCGGGATCGAGTTCCGCATCGGGCTCCCTGCTCGGTGGGGGGTCTGCTTCTCCCTCTGCCCTCTTCCCTCTCGTGCTCTGTCTCTCATTCTCTCTCTCTCAAATAAATAAATAAAATCTTAAAAAAAAAAAAAAAGAAGGTGTTCAGGGAACAGCTCCTCATGAGACACCAAATCTGCCAGTGCCTTGATCTTAGACTTCCCAGCTTCCAGAACCGTGAGGAATAAATGTTTGTTATTTATAAGCTACCCAGTTTATGGTATTTTTGTTATAGCAGTCTGAACAGGGTAAGACAGCCTGCAGTTCACTGTGTTGAGTGCTGGAGATGCAGTGGTGGTCCAGGCTGATGAGACCTTTATGAAGCTTACAGTCTTCTAGAGCAGTTAGCAAATAGTCAATCACTAATAAATATCTAATTACAAATTATCTTAAGTACCCTAAAGAAAAAGGACGGATGTCATAAGGAAGAAAGTTCTTAACCCCACTGTACATGGTTGGCTCCTTTTGTTTTTTAGCTTTTTATTTGAAAATAATTTCAGATTCATGGAATAATATACCCTTTAGTCAGATTCCCCTCACGTTGCCATTTTGCCCCCATTTATTTTATCATTTGCTCCCTTTATGTTAAAATTAAAAAAAAAATCATTGGAAAGTAAGTTGCGTATTTTATAGCCCTTTACCCCTAAACACTTCAGCATGTATTTCCAAAGTATTGGGATATTCTCCTATATAATCCACATTATAGTTATTTTTTTAAAGAATTTTATTTATTTATCTGACAGAGAGAGACACAGTGAGAGAGGGAACACAAGCAGGAGGAGCGGGAGAGGGAGAAGCAGGCTTCCCGTGGAGCAGGGAGCCCGATGCGGGGCTCGATCCCAGGACCCTGGGACCATGACCTGAGCCGAAGGAAGATGCTTAATGATTGAGCCACCCAGGTGCCCCTACAGTTATTTTTTTTAATGTGATTAGTTTCTTTTTTCTTTCTTTTTTTTTAACGATTTATTTATTTATTTATTCATTTATTTATTTGAGAGAGAAAGAGGGAGAGAGCAAGCGTAGGAGGGGGAGGGGAAGAGGGAGAGGGAGAGAGAGAATCTCAAGCAGACTCCATGCTGAGCGCGGGGGCCTGACTCGGGGACCTGAAATCAAGACCTGAGCCAAAACCAAGAGTCAGGCGCTTATCCGCCTGTACCACACAGGTGCCCCCACGTTATAGTTATTAATCACAAGGATTTAACATTGATGCGATTCTTTTATCTAATCTGCTCTCTGTACTCAAATTTGTCAGTTGACCCAAAAACGTCCTTTTTTTGTTTAAGATTTTATTTATTTATTTGACAGAGAGAGACAGAGTGAGAGAGGGAACACAAGCAGGGGGAGTGGAAGAGGGAGAAGCAGGCTTCCCACGGAGCAGGGAGCCCGATGCGGGGCTCGATCCCAGGACCCTGGGATCATGACCTGAGCCGAAGGCAGACGCTTAACGACTGAGCCACCAGGCGCCCCCAAAAATGTCCTTTATAGCATTTTCCCTCCTTCAGTACAGGATCCAGCCTATAATCACACATTGAATTCATTGCCATGTCTCTTTGCTACTCTGAAATCATTTCTCAGCCTTTCTCTGTCTTTTATGATATTGACAATTTTGAAGAATACAGGCCTCCTGTTATGGACTGAATTGTGCCCCACCCCCAACAAATTCATATATACTGGAGCCCAAACCACCAATGTGACTACATTTGGGGATGGCCTATAAAAAAGTAATTAAGATTAAATGCGATCATAAGGTACAGCCCTAGTCCAATAGGATCGGTGTCCTTATAAGAAGAGAAAGAAAATGTTCATTACAGCAGTATTTACAATAGCCAAAATATGGAAACAACCTAGGTGTCCATAGATGGATGAATGGATAAAGAAGATGGAACACACACACACACACACAGGACTATTACTCAGCCACAAAAAAAGAATAGAATCTTACCATTTACAGCAACATGGATGGCCCTTGGAGAAATAAGAGAAATAAGTCAGGCAGAGAGAGAACAATACCATATGATTTCACTCATATGGGGAATCTAAAAACAAAACAAAATACCAAGCTCACAGATACAGAGAACAGATTGGTGGTTGCCAGAGAAGGGGCATGGATGAGTGATATGGGTGAAGGGAGTCAAAAGGTACACATTTCCAGGTGTAAAGTAAGTAAGTCATGGGGAGGTAATGTACAGCATGGTGACTAGAGTTCACAATACTGTATTGCATATTTGAAAGTTGATAAAAGAGCAAATCTTAAAAGTTCTCATCAAAAGAAAAGAATTTGGAACTATGTATGGTGACAATGGTCACTAGACTTATTGTGGTGATCATTTCACCGCATATACAAATATCAAATCATTATGTCATACACCTGAAATTAATATATTATATATAATTGATTACATTATACCTCAATAAAAAAAATTTTTTTTAAAGGAAGAAGAGATACCAGAGAATTCTCTCTCTGCATGAGCACAGAAGAAAGCCCATGTGAGGTCATAGCAAGAAAGTGGCCATCTACAAGCCAGGAAGAAAGGCCTCACCAGAAATTAACCCTGATGGCACCTTGATCTTGGACTTCTAGCCTCTAGAACTGTGAGAAGGTAAATGTCGGCTGTCTAAGCCACTAAGTCTATGGCATTTTGTATGGCAGCCTGAACACACTAATACACCCCCTTTCAAAAATAACATATGCCTCATTTGGGGTTTGTTGGATATTTCCTCACTATTAAATTCAGATTATGCCAGAATACTACATAAGTGATGTTGTGTCCTTGGGATACCATATATGGGGGCACACAATGTTAATCTGCTCCTCATTGGTGATGATAATTTTATCACCTGATCAAAATGATGTCTAGTTTCTCCACTGTAAATTTACCACCTCTTCCTTAGCAACTAATATGCAATCTGTGGAGAGTTTTTTAAAGATTTTATTTATTTATTTGAGAGAGGGAGAGTGTGCATGTGAGAGCGAGCACAAGTGGGGGAAGGGCAGAGGGAGAGGAAGAAGCAGGCTCCCCGCTGAGCAGGGAGCCCAACACGGGGCTCAATCCCAGGACCCTGGGATCATGCATGACCTGAGCCAAAGGCAGCCGCTTAACAACTGAGCCACCCTGGCACCCCTATGGAGAGCTATTTTGAGACCACATAAATATCTTACTATTTATCATGTTGGTTCCTTCAAATCCTTCAAGTCTCAACCTAATGTCAGCTCCTCAGAGATGCCTTCCTTGACCACCCCTATCTAAATTGAACCCTCCTCTTTTGCTTTCATGGCACCTCTGTTTGTTTCTTCACAGCACTCACCCTAACTTGTGATAATGTATCAACTTGTGTGTTTATTAATGTCCGTCTTCCACCAGCTCCATGATAGTGGGGGTCAAGTCTTTTTGTGCTGGGAATACAGTAGGTGCTCAATGAATATACGTCGAATGAATGAATAAATGAATGCATGCATGGTGTGGGATTTGTTAAACAGCTTAGTATATCTCACTGGTGCTGCCCTTTGGAGAGAAATTCTCCTGTTGATCTTTACTAACTTTACAATCCATGTTTGGGGTGTGTGCTTATGTGTGGCAGGATCAGATTGCACTACCTTTATGGCTTTTAAACATCATTTTCCTGCTGAGTTATCCACTATTCAGCATACAAAGCTAAAAGTCAGCCGGTGTAATACATCCTGGCAGGCTTTATAATTCAATAAATCCACAATCAAACAAGGGTGCCAGTAGCCACTGGCAGAAGGCTGATTGATTGGCAGGCCAGATTCCACTAACAGTGTCTTCTAGAAGAAACCTCTCCAGCTCCCATTAGTTTTTGATGTAGTGTTCCATGATTCATTGTTTGCGTATAACATCTGGTTGCGCCATTCAGTAGTGCCCTCTTTAAGCGGCTATAGGCACAAGAATAAAGGGAGATACAGTGTGTTAAAGAGCCTAGCATAGTGCCTGCCACATAGTAGGTATTGAGTAAAATGCCTCAGGGTTGCTGTGCTCCCTGCTACCAATAATAACAGCTTGCTGTAGTCCAACTAATCTGAATACTATATTAAATTTGATACAAATCATGGTGCTGTCCCACCCCGGGCATTTGCACTTTGCCACCCTGTGACATCTGGTAATGCAATCCTTGAACCCCAGGGAATGAATCTTGAGTGATGGATTCCAAGGCACAGTGACCAGCTGGGGGCAGTGGATAATTTCTACCGATACCTTTGTGTTCAGAGAGTACCTATTATGCAATCTATTCAGAGTTTAACACATATTTATTATGGCTTCTCTGGTAGACTCATATTGCTCACCTGTATTTGGTGTCCCTCCCAGCAGGGTCTCTACCTACGGAAGAATTGTGCCTCTCCATGCCTTTAAAATCAGGCATAAACTATGAACATAAGGGGTATGTGTTACCTCTAGGTGGAAGCTTGGAGAACCAGCGCTTGCTTTGTTACTTTCCCTTTTCCATAGGATGTGTTGATTGGCAACATCTGACATGGCCCCATCTCTATCAGCTGGGATCCCAGAGTGAGGACAAATAAGATCTGCTAATGAGTAGAATTCTTCTCACTGCTCTCCTACCAACCTATTCTGGACATGTAGTATGAGCAAGAAATAAATGTTTACTACAAGCCACTAACATTTTGAGATTGCTTCTTACTGCAGCATAATCCAGCTTATCCTAGCTTGTTGAACTTCCAAGGATGCCAGAAGAGGGACTATAAACAATTCATCCACAGTTGGTACATAACAACTGTTGAACTTGGGCTGAGAGGCCAACTTACTTTTTGCTTCAATTCTGGTATAAATATTGAAAAAGTCCAAGTCACAGAGCTCAAGAAGTGCAGGTGTGAGAGGTGGCCTTCTTAAAGACAAAGCCTGTTCTGTGACTAAGCACTCTCTCCCTTTGCCCTCTCTCCCTGGATAATGAGGTAGAACTTTTAGGCTGGGCCCCAGAGGTGCCAGCTCAATGGCCGTCACGATTTTATGGAAAGTGTATTATAAATTTTCACTTTCTCTCATCATAAACCAGTGTGAGAGTGGGCATCTGTGTTGCAAGTGGAATTTTCTGCTTTTAGTGACTTGACACTTTAGCCCTTTTGTTACAAACCCAGTTTTAATTTTTTTTTAACATAGTCCAGGCACAGCACATAAACCTCTGCACCCAGGGGAGGGCTATGTGGTCACTTCCACTAGGGGGCTAAGCTTTTGATTTTTCTTTATTTTGCTTGAATTGATTACAAATGTTCCAACAAGTAGTCAGGTGATTTCCTTGTCTGGGCAGTTCAGGGGCAAGGGGGAAACCAAGCTGTTGAGGCGCACATAGTAATTGGTGAACTTGGGGAAAGCATATTAGTGACCACATGAGTGAAAAACAAGGCACTGTCAGTGTCTTTTCTAGCTTTTGGGTTTGATATTTTCAGGGTCTTTTGTGCCCAGAGAATTGCAAGTGAAAACTAGGTATTCAATAAATATTCAATGGGCACTTGTCAGTCCATATATTACTTGATCTCTCAGTCCTTGGCATTTCACACAGTTGACCTCCCCTCCTTGAAATATCCTCTTCTCTTGGTTTCTGACACTTCTCCTCGTTCTCATCATATCTCTCTAGTTCTTCCTTGATCCATTTTGTGGGATATCCTACCTCCACCTAGTTGCTGAATGTTGGTATTCACAGTGGCTCTGTCTTAACACCTATTCTGAATCTTCACATTATCCCTGAATAATTTCACCCATTTCCATTACTCTATCTACTTCCTCTATATCTCCAACCAAAATCTCCTCCTAGAACATCACATCTATATATCCAAATGCCAACTGAACATACTCATTTGGATGTCCCATGGGTATCTGAAAATCAACATGTCCAAAAGACCGTATGATCTCCTGCTCCCTCTGCTCTTTCTCCTACATGTTCTTACCTCACTGAGGGCACCATTGTCTACCCAGTTGCCCAAAGAAGAACACAAATATTATTCATGATCACTCTCTCTCTCTCCCATCATATCTAGCTAATACCTGGATACTGATGACTCTCAAATCTCTCTATATTTATGTTCCTATTGGTTTATAACATTCAAAGAGAAGTTCCATAGGCATCTTAAAGTCGATATTTTCCAAATGTAATTCACTACTTCCCCCTTCCTAGTCTACTTCATTTGCCTTAGCTCCCACCAAGCCTAAGTATTATCTTCACCATACATGCCATGTGATTTTATGCCTCCATGAATTTACTTATAGGGTTCCCTCTGCCTAAAATATTCTTCTTTTCTCCATCTCGTTCCAAGTCCAGCACTAATGCTGTTTCTCTGTGGAGTCTTTCATAACATCCCTTAGAATAAATTTTCTATTCATCTGTGTTCCTTTGGCATATCTATATCCATCCCCAAACACCTACCACATTATAACACATTTATTTTTCATGTTTTACTATTAGACTTTAAGTTTCTTGGTGGCAGAGACCATGCTTTATTAATCTTTGTTCCCCTAGCACCTAGTAGTGTGCCTTACACGAAGTCAGCCCTCAATTCATGTTTGTGAAATAAAGGAATTTATTAAATAATATTTTACTGATCTCCACATTTTCAGAAGAATATGGACAGGGTTAGAGACTAATTAGGCTCGAATGCAGACAGCGAAGAGATAATTTAATACATTTCTTCAAGTAACTATGAATCCCTTACATTTATAAAGCCCTTTAAGCTATCAAACAATAATCAGGCACATCACTGTATGCAGTCTTTACAGCAATCTTGGGAGGTGGGGGGGTAGGGTAGGAATTATCCTCTTTCAGGAGACGCAAAATAAATTACTAAAAAATGAATTACTAAAGGAACCTAGCCCACTGCTCTTGAGGTGTTACTACAAGGATGGTAAACTCGTTCTTCAGTTCTATAATGGTCCAAGCTAGAGTAATTAGGCTTCATCATTGTAAAGAGAAAGCATTGAATTGGATGAGAAACTAGATACTGGATTAAGTTACCAGGAAAGATTGTAGTTCTAGGTCTTTGAACCATTTGAAGAAACATTTAGCTCCATAAGTCTCTGATAATAACAATAACTGCTAATGTACTTTGTGCTAGGTACTGTGCAGATGCTATCTTATTTAATTATTGCAGAAAACCTATGAAGTATCTTCATTTACAAAATACGAAAACGGAGGCTCGAGGAACTTAAGCAAATTGTCCAAGGTTACACAGCTAGTATTTTTTTTTTTTAAAGATTTTATTTATTTATTTGACAGAGAGAGACACAGCGAGAGAGGGAACACAAGCAGGGGGAGTGGGAGAGGGAGAAGCAGGCTTCCCGCTGAGCAGGGAGCCCAATGTGGGGCTCGATCCCAGGACCCTGGGATCATGACCTGAGCCGAAGGCAGACGCTTAACGCCTGAGCCACCCAGGCGCCCCTACACAGCTAGTATTTAACTCAGCTGGAATTCTAGGCCTATCTGTCTCCAAAGCTGTTTATTCTTTTCTCTGTATTTTTAAAGTTTTTTAAAAATAGACTTTATTTTTTAGAGCAGTTTTAGGTTCACACCAAAATTGAGTGTTGGGAACAGAGAGTTCCCATACACCCCCTTCTGCCATGTATACACAGCCTCTCTAACT